AGGATCAGGCCTAAAACGGCAGTCAGACATCCCCCGAGGGGTCCCAGATTGCGAGAGGGTGCAGGCCGGGCTGAGGGACACCTCCTACCCCTGTGCACGAATTTCATGCACCGGGCCTCTAGTCGACATATAAATGGACCCATGCAGTTCAAATCCGTGTTGTTCGGTCGACTGTAATCCCATTTGTGGAGCAATCCACAAGCAACACATTGTGTAAGATACATATCTCACCAAACACAGAATTCAGGAGAATGGCTGCTCCTCGGGCAGAAAGGACGACGGTGGGTCACAGAGGTGAGCACAGAGCCTTTCCGTTGGGCTGGGAATGATTCTGCTTCTTAAGCAAGGTGCTGGTCGCTGCAGCTTAACAACTCCGACATCTTAGAATCGCTGTCAGCGGTGATGATGTCGTTGTCGTTGCCTGAAAAATACCCTAACCGATTTTTTTCACTTACATTCTCTTCTTGATGCATGCACAGAATGACACATGACAAAAATCTAAGTCTGAAAGACCTCTTTCAACAAGTATAAATTTAACAAGTCCAAGTGACAAGAAGAATACAAAAGAGAGGGCCGAAGAGGGCGCAAAGCCAGCAGGCCAAGTGAGGAGAGGTCAGGGGTGGGGGAGGGGAGGGGTGATGATGAATTGGAGTTCCCAAGAATGAGAGGGTCAGAATTAGGAGGCCAGGAAAGGAGGGTCTAAAAGTACAGCTGGGAATTATAAATCAGATTTGCCCTTCAAGAGACTTGAGTCCAGGGTGCAATTACTCTTCAATTATTTACTCCGTTTCCCTAAGTGGTTCTTCAGATGTGACCCAGCTCCAGGCCAGAACTGTGGGGGCCGAGGCTTTCATAGGGCTGCCTTGGGCACGTGGCTCTTATTTGGTATTGATTAATTTATGTCTGCTCTTTGTGGGGGGAAAGGGGACCTGAGATGAAGCAAGTCCTAATCTCTCTGAATCTCATTTTCTTCATCCGACAAATTGGGCTCCTGATGCCAAGGGGCCAGGTGGCCAGGTGGCCAGGTGGGGGGCGGTGAAGATGAAACAAGACCCCAGGCAGAGCGCCAGCGTGCGCCTGGGACTCCGCAAAGCTCTGGAGCTGCGGGTTCCCTTCCCCGTAAATACCGTGGCTGTTTGGTGGAAGCCTAGGACTATTTAAAATGAGATGAAGGGGTAGAAGGGCCCGAGAAGCAAAAGCCCTCTCTAAGTGCAGGTGGTTATCGCTCTTTGTTATGACTGTAAAGTGCTTTGCAGACACGAAGTTGACAAAGGAAATAACTTGTAATAACAGCCTGTCTACGGACTCTCAGGTGTTCCACGCCTTTCCCAGGGTTCTAATGGCGGGGGAAGGGGAGGCGGGCAGGGAGGCGTTTCAGTCCCTGTCCTTTGCAGATGTTGTCAGGGCGAGGGAGGAGTGACTCAGTGTTTTCTGCCTCCACCTGAGCCACCCGGGCTCAGAGAGGGGACCCGCTGGGTTCCCCGGCTCCACGTGATGAGCCCACGTACTTGGACTCCTAAGTGGGTGCTCTCTGCCCACCAGCACGATCTGACAATCGGAGCCCCTGAGCTGTCCGTACCAGGGTGCACTGCCAATAATCAAACGCCCGGCCGCCATGGCTCAGTGGTGGAGCATTGACCTGTGAACCAAGAGGTCAGGGGTTCGATTCCCCATCAGGTTGCGGCCCAATCCCCAGTCAGGGTCGTGCAGGAGGCAGCCGATCAATGATTCTCTCTCATCATTGATGTCTCTCTCTCCCTCTCCCTTCCTCTCTGACATCAATAAAAATATGTTTTTTAAAATAAAAGGAGCCTGTAGTCAGGTGTGCCTGGGGCCTGCTTCTCCACCTGCAGGGGCTGCTCTGTCGTATGGGAGCCAGCACAGAACCCGGTGGGGCGCCCCTGACCCAGCGACGAAATCCTCTAGGTCAGTGGTCGGCAAACTCATGAGTCAACAGAGCCAAATAGCAACAGTACAACGATTGAAATTTCTTTTGAGAGCCACATTTTTAAAACTTAAACTGTATAGGTAGGTACATTGTTATTAACTTAATTAGGGTCCTCCTACGGCTTAGGAAGAGCCACACTCAAGGGGCCAAAGAGCCGCATGTGGCTCGCGAGCTGCAGTTTGCTGACCACGGCTCTAGGGAAGCCTCTTAAACCAGCTGGCAGCCCCATTGCAACGCCCGCTGGAGGCCCCAGAAAGACACGGAGGCAAGCCACCCCTCAGCCCCCCTTTTCCCCAGGGCCGGAGACCATGTGAAATGCTCTCTCACATTCACCTGCACCCGGTTCGCATGTAACTGGCAGATTTCTGCACAGCCTTTGAGCGGCGCTTCTCTGCCTCCCGCCCACCCTGGATCTTGCCCTTCCTTGTCCCGGGAAGAGCATGCTTTCGGCCCACGTGCCTGGCAGCCCCTTTTGTGATTCCTGAGCACGAATCCCAACTGTCACCTGGGGCCAGCGCAGCCTTAGCTGAACCTGTCACCGTTTCCTGCTCAGTCACCCCCCTAACCACCTACACTCGCCTGCTTTTAAAAAGGCACTTAAAGAACTCCTCTCCTTCTCCATCGAGTTGCTCTATTCCTTTAACTTGAACTTACAGAGAACGTGATGGGCCCAAAATCAGGGCCCGGCCCAGGCCTTGCTCGTCAATATTCCGCTTGGTGCTTCTCTATCCACTAGTGTCTGCGTGTTGCCCAGGTCCTCGGTGGAGAGTGGCGGTGGGCAGGCAGGTGGGCAGCTCTGCCCTGACCCCTCGCCCTCTCTTTCCCACCAGCCGGTGAGCTGAGACACGCCATCCTCGCATGCTCACAGGCACCCAGCCCCCAGCATGGATACATCCCCGAGAAGCGAAGCAGAAACCGCCCACCCTCCCCCCGGAGGAGCTCAGGGCATAAGAAGAAGATGGCTCCTGGCTTGTTCAGTGCCATCAGCCTCCAGAGGGTCTGCCCTGGGCTGGAGACGACAGTTCCAGGAAAGATGTGTCCTTGGCCGATTACACCCCACCCCCCAGGTTCCGGGGCCTCACAGCGCCGCAGAAGAGCTGGCTCGGATCCCAGAGGGCCTCAGAGAGGGTCGCCAGGGTTGTTAAAATGAGGTGATGGAGAGAGGCTGCTGAAAGGATAGCACCTGGCACAGGTAAGCTGCGGCGTTGAGGCTATTCTTGCTATTATGAAGGCAAAATGCTCTGCAGGCTAAAAGCTAACAAGGGAGAAGTAAAAATAGCTGATCCAGCCCTAACTGGTTTGGCTCAGTGGATAGAGCGTCGGCCTGTGGACTGAAGGGTCCCAGGTTCGATTCCCGTCAAGGGCATGTACCTTGGTTGCAGGCACATCCCCAGTAGGGAGTGTGCAGGAGGCAGCTGATGGATGTTTCTCTCTCATCAATGTTCCTAACTCTCTATCCCTCTCCCTTCCTCTCTGTAAAAAAATCAATAAAATATATATTTTAAAAAATAGCTGATCCAACGACCCTAGAGTGTGCTCTCCTCTTCCCGAAGTCCTAATGCTGTCAGAACAGAAAAGGCGACTCCACAGAGCGGGAATCCTAGGCCTCGTGCCCTCCGCCATGTGCTGTCTGCAGTTCCTCCTCTGAGGACGCGGGAGCAAATGGGGTCTGATGCAGAGACGCACTTGACGGGGCTCAGGCAACACCCCAGCCTTGCCCCTCTGCTGAGAGCAGGCCACGGCCAAGGCCAGGCGGCGACCCTCCGCTTTTCAGAATCATCCCTCGCTCCCGAGAGCCTCCTGCAGAAGTGCCTGCTGCTGGAGGATGTCTCTCTCCCTCCTTGGAGGAACTGGAATGGCTCCGTGATCCCATCCAGCCACTGCCCGCAGGCCTGATGTGGGAATGTGGCCGTGGCCACCCTCAGTGCCTCAGGTCTGAAATGACAGCCCCTCCACCCTCCTCCAAAGAGCAAAGGACAGGTGTTCCAGGAGCCTCCAGCTCTTCTGAGCAACATCCACGGAGCCATACAGGAGCTGTTGGGTTATAGCCTGTGCTCAGCCGGCGGTGCAGAAGCAGGTGTGGGAGTGGGGGCACCACCCTCAGCCCCCGGGAAACCTGGAGGAGCCGCCCTGTCTTCCTGCCGCTGCACCCCCGGAGGAGAGCAAGGCACCGCAGTAAGTGGGCTTTGTTCTCCGCAGGGCCGCTGACTGACTTCAAAGACCCTCCTCGATCAGCAATGGGTGTGATGTGGGGCCCACACTGAGTCGAGCCCGCGGGGCTTGCTGAAGGTCAGCCTCCCGGAACCCCCCTTAGTCACCCCCTCGTGCAACTGGTGGGAACGGCCAGAGGCAGACTTCGAATTACTTACCATTGTTACAAGATTGCTCAACACAAAAAAAAGGTCATTCAGTACTACATTACCTAAATGAACTCTCTATTTAAAACTAGAGGTCCCATGCAGGAACTTTGTGCACTTGGGGGGTGTGGTCCCTCAGCCGGGCCTGCGCCCTCTCACAGTGTGGGAGCTCTCAGGGGATGTCCGACTGACGGTTTAGGCCCGTTCCCCACCCCCAAGCCTGCCTACGCCGGCAGTTAGACATCCTTAGCGCTGCTGTGAAGGCTCCCACCACCTGCTGTGCTCACCAGCTGTGAACTCTGGCTGAGTGCACTGACCACCAGGGGGCAGCTCCTGCATTGAGTGTCTACCCTCTGGTGGTCAGTGTGCATCATAGCGACCGGCCATTCCACTGTTCAGTCGATTTGCATATCAGCCTTTTATTTTATAGGATGCACACATTCCTTTGGAGTCGGTATAAAAGGCCACTTGTACCTTAATCTTGAGGTGGTTGTTTGGGTCAGGACCTTAGTCACCTTGCAAAATGAATGTTCTCTCCCCCAAGCAGCCACCCCGGCCAACCTGTGGACTGGGTCCAGTGTGGGGACTTCCAAACTAGCAGCCCAGTTACAGTGATTCCAGATGTGATGGCTGGGTTTGCTGGCTCTGTCACTCCCACCATCTGGTGGTAGTTCCGTGGACATGCAAATTAGCCAGCCAGTCATGCTAATGCTCACAGCATGAGGGGGCCTTATTAGGATGCAGACAGCCTCGTGGGTTGGTTTTGAGTCATAATTCAAACATTCTACACAAATGTGCTTTCATCTCCCTTAGAACAGAATCAAAATTCTAAGGGCAGTTCTGTTCTCCCTAGTTCTTCTCAAACTGCCGCATCCCAACGAGCCCCTAGTGAATGGGGAGTGGAACCTGACCCTAAGCAGTGTCCCCGCAGCCAAAGACAGAGCTCATAACACCTGGCATTCAGGGACCATTTCCATCGGCTCCTACATCCCTCGCACGACATCCCCTGCAAACACCTGCACTCAGGGTTGCAAATGGTTTTGGATGATACTGGAAGCGCCTCCTCCACCAGAACCCATATGGTAGAGCTGGTCCAGAAAGGGCCGGTCATTGTACCTTAGCCTCCTGCCATAGTGATTGGTTACAAAGAGACATGTGACCTAATTGGGGCCAAACATAGGTTTCCTGAGGTTAGCTGGGAGAGACGCTCCTTCATCGGGAGTGGCCAGGTCAGGAGGATGTGCGTCCAGGGCAAATAACACAAACAGGGGTTAGCGAGGCCCGAGGGGAAGGGAGAGACGCTGAGAACTTTGAGTGATGGCCATAGTTTGGCCACGGCTGGATTAGACTCTGACCCAGAGCAGGTGGGACCACGGCTCTCGCAACTAAATTGTAATTCACTAACTCACGAACTTCATTTGCTCCCGTTCAGAAAGGCTCTTCAAACCCAAGAGAAAGAGTAAAGGAGGAAAAGGGAGAGTTTGAGAGTTTTACATACGAGAGCTTGGCCATGAGGGTCAGACTATCCCACCAGCCTAAGAGCAGCTCAAATGACAGATTCAGAGCCTGTGGGGTGGCATGAGGGGAGGGGAAAGAGAGGAAGCGAGAGTTATGATTCTGGAAAACTGGCCAAAGCCAGCCCCCAGGCACCCAGGGCCTCCTCTCTCTGTCTCCTGGGTTCTTGCCTCCCCCTTCCCAGATAAGACTGATTCAACCTGCCTTTCTTTGAAGCACAAAAGCGTAAGATATTAATATTCCCCAAAAGTATCTTTAAAATGCTGTAATGCCGCATAAAACTTGAAAACAGTAAAACGAAGATGGCTCAACAGTGTATGTAAGCCAATTCTGGGAAGAAACTTTTATTTCATTTCTTAAAAGCATTAAGTGAGAAACTTTTCGTGGCACGTAGGCAGAGAGCTTCCCCGGACTCTGCCACAACCTCTGGCCTGGGAAGGAGAAGACATCTGGGCTGGAAGCGTGAACGGTGGCCTTAGAGGCCAATGGCCGCCTTGCTGTGTGGCCCCAGAGCGCAGGACTCACTCCAGGCCCGGCTACCTCCCCAGCTGTCTTCCCACTGCCTCCGCCATCTCCCCCTCATAACCACCAACTCTCTGGCTGGGAGAACACAATCTCTGTGATTGGTACTCAGCAGGCAACATTATTGGTTCACACAGTGATGCACTGAGAGCAAAAATGGATTCCAGAGCAAAGCCTGATGCCGCCCACCAAGGGAGAGGAGTCTCACTCTTAGAATATGTCCAGCGTCTCCTGGACAGTCTTACCACCTGTTCACTTATCTCTTGCCGCCGTGGCCAACCACGATCATGCAGTCAGATTGAAAGAAAGGAAATTGTTTTTGGAATGGACCACCCAGCTTATCACCCTGTTACCATCACCTAGAACCTAACACCAGCAGTCACTATCATGATCATTATCATGTGACACATGTGTACTTACCTAGGTATTTTATTCAGTCCAGGAGGACCAAGTGTCCTTCGTTCACCAGGGATGATCAGGCCTCGGCAAATTGATTTAACTGAAATTCCAAAGAAATTATTCGAGAAACCAGAATGACGATTTATTAACTTAGAATGAGAAAGATGGCATTTAGTCTGTAATTGACAAGAAGATGACCAGAGAATGTATGTTGAACACTCTGAACATTGTCTTCTTGGTAAGAAAATCTACTTGAGAAATTGAATTAAGAAGGCCATTGGGTAACTGAAAAAAGACAAATGGTCTTGGATAGCCACGTTATTTATTTGGATCAAGCAGGAATAGCCAGATGCCTCCTGCTTGTCCAATGGTCAGATGGTCATTTCCGCAGGTCATTTCCGCAGCACTCCCTCCAACAGACAGAGCCACAGGCTTCTTAAGAAATCCTTAGATATTGAAAGTGTCTTCTCTGCCTCCTCTGTGTATTCAAGTTGTCCTCATCATTCCCAGCTCTACTAGTTGTCTCCCCAGCACCCATTTCCCCGCCCCCTGACAGGACTCCAATTTAGTTCAGATCTCGGTTCACCTCCTGCAGCCCCTGTGCTTCAGAGAAAGTCACGTTTCCACCAATATTAGGAGTAGGTCTGATTAGTCTCAAGTTGCTTTCCTATCCTTTGCAGTGATTGGTTCCCAAAAGGGCATGTGACCTAACTTAAGCCAATGATATGCACAGCTTCTGCAAACATTATCCTACTTGACCAAGAAGCTGGATTTGGGCTGCCAACTTGCACCAGCCTGAAGATGAAGCCAGCCCCCAAAGGAGGGCTGGGTGAGAGAAACAGCCAGAGGCTCTGGACGGCATCTCCCCACACAGACACCCTCCCTACGATGGGAGTGTGCAGGATGGTAGCTGTCTTTATGGTTTAAGGGAGTCCAGCTGTGTGTTTTGTTACTTGCAGCCACAGGCAACCTGGCTGGAGAAGACATGGAGAAGGAAGCACGGTGGACTGCCTTTGTAATCTTGGACAGAATCTCTTCTAACAAAATCCAGGAGTCACAGAAGAAAATATTGGCAAATTCAAACATATAAAAATAAAAACCTTCTGCATGACAAAGAACAGCATAAACTAAGTCAAAGGCAGACAACCAGCAAGGGGAAGTACTTGCAATTCCTATCTCAGAGGGTTAATCTCTCTAATGGATAAAGACCTCCGAGAAATCGATAGAACAAAGACACAACTCAAAAGAAGAGTAAGCAGGGAATATTACTAGAGAGTTCGCAGGAAAGGCAGTACAGATAGCTCCGAAGGAAGTGAAGATGCCCAACCTCAGACATAACAAAAGAATGCAAATTAAACCTCAGGGAGAAATACATAAAGAACTCTCATAACTCCATATTCAGGAGACAAGTAACTCAATAAAAAAAAAATGGAAAAGAGATTTGAAAAAACACTTTACGAAAGCTTACTAATGGCCAAGCAAGCAGGGTCACACCTGGCTGGGTTCAATCATAACGCATTGCTTTTCTAGCAAGATAACTAGACATTTTTTCTTTCCCATGGTCCCTGCCCCTCAGTCTACTTAGTAATTCTGCCGAAACCGGTTTGGCTCAGTGGATGGAGCATCGGCCTGTGGACTGAAGGGTCCCGGGTTCGATTCCGGTCAAGGGCATGTACCTGGGTTGCAGGCACTTCCCCAGTAGGGGGTGTGCAGGAGGCAGCTGATCGATGTTTCTCTCTCATCGATGTTTCTAGCTCTCTATCTCTCTCCCTTCCTCTCTGTAAAAAAATCAATAAAATATATTAAAAAAAAAAAAAAAGTAATTCTTTTTTGTCAGGCCCCTGCCCCTAGCACAATTTGAGGAGTGTTTGGAGAGACAGGCGTGTGTGTTTGGTGTCCTAGGGCTGAGCACCTAAGCTCATCTCCTTTAACCAAGTTATTTGATTAGACCAAGGGTGGGCAAACTTTTTGACTCGAGGGCCACAATGGGCTCTTAAACTGGACCGGAGGGCCGGAACAAAAGCATGGATGGAGTGTTTGTGTGAACCAATATAAATTCAAAGTAAACATCATTACATAAAAGGCTATGGTCTTTTTTTTTTTTTTTTTTTTTTTTTTTTATTTTTTTTTTTTTAAAACGG